TACTTATTAAATAATAAGTATTTAAAATCATGCATGGGGCAGTATCTGTTAACAGCTTGCCCCTATCAACGCAGCCGTGCCGAGCCGAGCCGCGCTCCGTGCCGAGCCGTGCCGAGCCTCGCTCCGCTCCGTGCCGAGCCGTGCCGAGCCGCGCTCCGTGCCGAGCCGCGCTCCGCTCCGTGCTGAGCCGTGCCCATCCGCGCTCCGCTCCGTGCCGAGCCGCTCCGTGCCTATCCGCGCTCCGTGCCGGCGGAGGGCGGAGCGCTGCCGCCGTTCCGTTCCGGGGCGGGCCGAGCCGCTCCGAGCCGTTCCGGGCCACCGGGGCACGATGGCGGCCACCAAGCGGGTGCTGTACGTGGGTGAGTGGCCGGGCTGGGGGAGCCCCGCGGGGCCGGGGCCGCCGGCGGTGCCCGGTGACCGCTGGCCGCCCCGCAGGCGGGCTGGCCGAGGAGGTGGACGAGAAGGTGCTGCACGCCGCCTTCATCCCCTTCGGAGACATCACCGACATCCAGATCCCGCTGGACTACGAGACCGGTGCGTGCCGGGCCGGGTGGAGCATCCCCGGGGTGCGCGGGCAGCGTTCGCGGTGTTACCGATAAATATGCGGACCCCCGCCGTGGTACCGATGTGTCCGTGCTGGCCCTGACCCCTCCCTTCCTTCCCTCCAGAAAAGCACCGCGGGTTCGCCTTCGTGGAGTTTGAGCTGGCAGAGGTGAGGAACCAGCAAGTGCTTGAGTCATTTTTTGAGGGGTTTTTGCACCCCTCTTCCTGCTGGAGCAATCTGTGAAATCGCACATTGTTCTGCTCTTCCAAGTCCCCACTATTCCCATTTCCTTTTGGGGTGAAGTTCCCACTTTTCCTGTTTCCAACCCAAACTGCTCCCCTGCCACTGGGTTCCTTGGTTTCATGGGCTGTCATATATTTGTCCTCTGATCATCTGTCCTGGGCTTTGTACACAAATCCCTTCTCTCCCAGAAGCTCATGGCAGCAATAAAACATCTTAAATATGAGGGGTTAGTGGGAAGATGAGACCCACATGGGGTTTGGAAACCCCACATGGATGGGGTTTGGATATGGCTGTTACAAAACCCATCAGTTCATACATTCCTGGCATAGATGAGGCTTAATAAAACCTGGCAGTTGTCTTTATAATGAGATGCTGGGACATGGCTATGCTGGACCTTGAGAATAAATGTTAATAATGATTTTATTTTGATTTTTTTTCTTTTGGCAGGATGCAGCAGCAGCTATTGACAACATGGTATGGACCCTGCTCCCACTGCTGCTCCCTGTTCCTTGGGGATGTGTGGCTTTGCTGCCCTGGGTACAGAGAGAGCAGAAGCTCTATCCTCTGAGCTCTGCAGGGTTTTGGGGGACATGGTGGGTTTATACCTTTTGGTGGGCTTGGCTCTGCTTTTCTCCCCTCTGCAGAACGAGTCTGAGCTCTTTGGCAGGACAATCCGAGTGAACCTGGCCAAACCCATGAGAATTAAAGAAGGATCATCCAGGCCTGGTGAGCTGGGGAGCAGAGCACCCCTGGGTGTGCTCGGAGCTCTGTGCATAAGCTGAGCTGTGGCCCTTTGGGTCAGTTCCTGTGCTCTGACCTTTCCTTTTGTGGCCACAGTCTGGTCAGATGATGAGTGGCTGAAGAAGTTCTCAGGGAAGACTTTGGAGGAGAACAAGGAGGAGGGAGGAGCAGAGGCCCCCAAAGCAGAGGCACAGGAGGTAGGAAAAACAACCGGAGCCATTTGTATCCCTGTTATCCCAAAGGATGAGAGTGCAAAGCAGAGAAACGTCACCTCAACTTGCTTTTCTTTCTTTTCCTGCCCAGGAGGAGCCTCCTGCCAAGAAATCCCGGGTTAACCCCCAGGTTTACATGGACATCAAGATCGGGAACAAGCCCGCGGGGCGGCTGCGGATCCTCCTGCGCTCCGACGTGGTGCCCATGACTGCAGGTGAGGAGAAGGCTCAGAAATGGGGCATCACACCGTGATCAATATGATCAAGTCAAGCCACTTTTATTGTACAGAAGCCTATATTTATAATAAGTTCTGCTGTTCATGCTCCTCTAGCTAATAGATGAAGATCACCCAATTCTTCACGCTTTGGTTGTCTGACCCACCCTCAGTTCTCTTTTTTACTTTCTTGAACCTTGCTGACAACTTTTGCTGATTCTCTGACTTTTCTTTTCCTGTCTTCAAGGATTCACTGACCCCACTCCTTGCAGTGATTACTTTGATACCAGAAGGCTGGATTGTGCATCTGCTGAATGCGTCCATTGTCCTGCAAAAAATCCTCAACACCTGGTGACCCCCAGGGGGGCACAGCTCTCACCTCCTTCCCCTTTGCTCCCCACACAGAGAATTTCCGCTGCCTCTGCACCCACGAGAAAGGATTTGGCTTCAAAGGCAGCAGCTTCCACCGCATCATCCCCCAGTTCATGTGCCAGGCCGGAGACTTCACCAACCACAACGGCACCGGCGGCAAATCCATCTACGGGAAGAAGTTTGATGATGAAAACTTCATCCTCAAGCACACAGGGCCAGGTAAAGCCATCTCCAGGCAGGCACTGGAGAGAAAATAGCTCAGCATTATCTAGGAACTCCATTTGGGTTGTTTTGGCCATGTTGATAGCAACAGCCCTGAATTATAATTATAATTATTATCATCTACATTGGCCAGACTTTTCTGCCACATTCAGACCCTTCTGTCTCACCAAATGCATCATTCCTTCTCCATCACTTTATCTGCAGTATTACATAAAGGAAAAACAATTTCAAAGCTGCTTTTCCTGCTTGATTTTAAACGAGGATTGTCACAGCGTGGCAGGAGCGAGCAAAAGCAGGTTTATCTCCATACAAACAGCTTTGCTGTTAGTGCAGCTAAAATTAGCTGAGCATCTTTCACACTTGCAAGTGTTTCTCAGCATAATTGATTTCTGGTGGTTTCTGTGGGTTTTGCTATCCAGCAGCTCCCCTGAATCCAGCAGGGACGTGGGGACGGGGCTGGGCTGGGGTGGGAGCTCCTGAGCTCAGCCATAGCTCTGCACTCTCTGATCCCAGGGATGGTGTCCATGGCAAACTCGGGCCCAAACACCAACGGCTCCCAGTTCTTCATCACCTGTGACAAAACAGACTGGCTGGACGGGAAGCACGTGGTGTTCGGGGAGGTGACGGAGGGCATGGACGTGGTCAGGGAGATCGAGGTAGGTGAGGGCAGCTGGGGGCAGAGCCCGCTTCCTTCCAGGATTCACACCTGGAATTCCTGCTGCTCTCTCCTCCAAGGCTCAGGGCACCAAAGATGGGAAGCCAAAGCAGAAGGTGATCATCTCGGACTGCGGGGAGTGCGCGTGAGCTCGGTGCTTGCAGGAGCCTGGCCTGGAGGGACAGGGAACCAGCAGGGATGGGACACCCAGGGGCTCCCCAGCACTGCCCATCCTGCAGCTTCCATAGGAATTCCCCTACAAAGCTTCCTGTGGGCAGGACTTTTCCTTCCCGGGATAAATCCTTCCCAGCCTGCGCTGTCCCAGCTGGGCTGGGCTGGTCCTGCTGCTGTGTTCTGTAAAAAAATTTATGTTTGGTAAAAATAAAACCTAGTTTTGAAAATACTGAGGGCCTGGCTGCTGATTTCCCTCTGTGGGAGGCTGGTCTTTGAGCAAAGATGCTTTCTTTAAAAATTTTTTTGTATTTGCCCTCATCTTCATGAATGCCATGCCTAAATCCTGGCTCCAGGGGAAGGTGCCTGTGCCAGGGAGAGAGAGCAGAGCTGAACCTCTCGTGTTTGTTGCACAGCAGCATCTCCTGCAGGTGTTTCTGCCTTTGTAGTGTCCTTTTCCAGCAGCAGAGGGAGGCAGGTCCCTGGCTGGTGTCTCTCCTGCTGGGAAGGCTGGTCCAGCTCCATCCCCACCCCAACGGGACAAGGAGCACCAGGAAGTGAGGGAGCTCTTTAGGTGATGAACCAGAAAAAATCCCAGAGTGATGAGGATGGAAGGGATTTCCAGCCTCCAGGTTGCGGGGTGGGATAAACCACATGGATTTATAGTGGTGGGCAGTCCTGGCTTTGCACTTAAAGCTGAGCGGGACATGATGGATTTTGGGTTTCCAGTGAAATTATGGAAGGGATGTTTGGTTCTGAGCTTGTGCAGGTGTTGGCAGGAGGGATGAGGCAGAGAGGAAGATCTGATAGTTGGATTTTGGGGATGCTTAGAAGTGCCATTGTGGATTTTGGGTTTGCCCAGCCCAGCCCCTCACAAGTCATGGTGTTTTTCCATCAGGGTTGCTTCTTTTTGGTTTCCTGGGGTGCTTGGGGGTTGTGCATTGTCCCAAAACTGAGACAAGGTGAGATGCACGGATGTGATTCCTGACAGACAAACCAGCCCAGCTTTCCCCTTCCTTGCTCCCTTCTTTTTGTTTAAATCCCACATTTTAAAGTCAACCCTTGCAGGCATCTTCAGCAAGACCTGAGAGGGGAGCCCAGGGTCAGGGCAAGGCCCGGGTGTTCCCTCTGCAGGAGGCACCACATCCCACAGAGCCAGGACTGCATCCTGAGCTGGATTTTGTGGGGAATTAAATACCCAGACAAGCCAGACCTTCCCTTGGGAAGCCTGGCACTGACAGGGAGCAAACCTTCCTTATTTTGGTGGGGTTTTATTGGGATTTTTCCCTGACTGTGCCAGCTTCTTTTCTTGTTTATTGATGTAAGGCTCCCCAGGTATCCAAGCTGAGAACCAGGACAGGCCTTTTCCTTTTATAATCAGAGCAAATAAATAATTTAATTGTGCAAATAACCTGGGGAAGCTGCTTGGGGCTGGTGCGGTCACAACCCCGCTGGGAGCCCACGGGATGGGCACAGCCTGACCTAAAACTCACATCAGGGCTCATTTTCAAGCAAATAGGTACAATTTTAGCCAGTTCTGAGTATTTTTTCAGTGCAAAAGGCCCTCTGAACAGAGCCCTGTTGTGCTGTGACATTAAAAAACAAAGAGCAAGAGAAACTCTGTGTTTACTTTCCAAACTTTGCGTTTATTTTATAACAGTGCTGTAGCTCAATATGGATATTTTATTTTTTTTCCCAACTGGCTGAGTTTGGTGAACTTTGGGTAAACAGGAGGGGGTTAGTCAGCCAGCTACTTAATTGGCTGATGATATTTTCATTAAGGGAATTAAAAGCACTTGGATAGAGGTGGGTTAGTGGAGAAATACACAGCTAGAAACAGCTCAGTCCCAAAGCAGCCTGGATGCTGCCTGCCCCCCTAAACTGCCTCCACCACAGGGAAAACACATCAGTCACAGACAAAACAGAATCAGCCAAAAATCCTCTCTTTCCTATATATATATATATGTTTGTATATATCTATGTGTCTCATCAAGCAGGATAAGAAAAAAATGAAGTTTTATATTATTTACATCCACTTCTAGAAAGGGGTGGGAGGGGTTTAATTTTGTTTTCTTTTATTATTATTATTATTATTAATGGATTTTGCTCTGATGCAGCCCACAAAGCTCCTCTTCCACGCATGCAGCAGAAACCCAGGGTCACATTGCTCTGGTGGGAGTGGGAGGGGACACTCAGGGACAGGAATGGGACACTCAGGGACAGGAATGGGACATCCAGGGGTGGGAATGGGACACTCAGGGGTGTGGATGGGACATCCAGGAGTGGGAATGGGACACTCAGGGACAGGAATGGGACACTCAGGGGTGGGGATGGGACATCCAGGAGTGGGAATGGGACACTCAGGGGTGGGGATGGGACATCCAGGGACAGGAATGGGACATCCAGGGGTGGGAATGGGACACTTAGAGGTGGGGATGGGACACTCAGGGGCGGGAATGGGACATCCAGGGGTGGGAATGGGACACTCAGGAGTGGGAATGGGACACTCAGGGGTGGGAATGGGACACTCAGGGGTGGGAATGGGACACTCAGGGACGGGAATGGGACATCCAGGAGTGGGAATGGGACACTCAGGGGTGGGGATGGGACATCCAGGAGTGGGAATGGGACACTCAGGGACAGGAATGGGACACTCAGGAGTGGGAATGGGACACTCAGGGTGGGAATGGGACACTCAGGGACAGGAATGGGACACTCAGGAACAGGAATGGGACACTCAGGGGTGGGAATGGGACACTCAGTGATGGGAATGGGACACTCAGGAGTGGGGATGGGACATCCAGGGGTGGGAATGGGACACTCAGGAGTGGGAATGGGACACTCAGGAGTGGGGATGGGACACTCAGGAACAGGAATGGGACACTCAGGAGTGGGAATGAGACCTGTCCATCAGTGGCAGCCGCAGGATTTCACCACCATGTTCCGATGCTTTTTGAGGATGACGTTGTTGTTGCTGTCGTAGTAGAGGACAGAGGTGGCACTGAGCTTGGTGGGGGCACAGCACGCCTTGGGCACGGCCTCAGGCTTCATCAGGTGGACCTGGGGGATGGATGGAGCCCGTCAGCGCCAGCAAACGTGGCTCCAGGCAACAGAAAAAGCGTCAAAACGACCAAAAAACCCTGGGTGAATGGGGGGATTATTTCCATCTTTTTGCAAAAATATTTATTCTAAACTCCAGGCAGTCCCTGCTACAGTTTACATTGGATCAGCACTCATGGCACTGCGTGGGCCAGGCAGCCCCTTCATTAATTTAGGATTTCAGGGCCCTTTTTCTCACAAAAACAGACAAATGACTGAAATAAACCCCATAAATCAGCGCAGCACGGGTCAGGCTCCCGTGTGGGCGGGGGGTGCTGGGTGTTGTTCCAACAGAGATTCTCCACCCCAAACTTAAAACCTGAAGTCCACAACAGCTCTATGACCAGGGCTGCACTCTGGGATGGTTTTTCCCTGCTGGGGACAGGCGTTATCCCGGTGTTTTCCTGGTGTTTTCCTGCAGGAGGGAGGCTGGCAGGATGCGCACTGCCCCGACATGTGAGATTAATTTATGGCAGGGGCAGCCGAGCTCTCCCAGCTCGGAAGTCCGGTGTTTTTGCTGTCCAACCCTGCTATTTGCAGCTCAGCCTGGGGTTGGCACAGCTCCGCAGCCAACTTTGCCCAGGCTCTTCCCAGAAGGGCCGGATCCAGGTGATTCACATCCTGCCCCGACGGTTTTGGGAACAGCGCTGGGTTTGGGGGCGATGGGTGGGTGTAGTGGGGGGAAAGAGCCTCTCCCTGCCCTGCCAGGGTGGTTCCCAGCCCCTGGATGGTTCCTGGAAGTTTTGTTCGTGTCAAAATTAAACCCAGCCAGGCGACACCTTCAAAGGCTGGGCCGCGCTCCCTGTAATTAACCGCGAGCACCGGAGCCGGGGTGGCTCTGCCATTGGGAAACCAAAACACTCACAGGGCAGGAAATTCCAGAAATTAAAGCGCTGGCTGGGATGTGGGGTGGGTTTGGGAAAAGAACAAACCCACGGCATTAAAGCTTTCTTGCTCGGAATATGCTGAGCCCAACGTTTGGGTGCTGGGGCTGTGGATAAACCCTCGGAAGCAGCTGGAGAGGAGGATGCAGGGATGACACGGAGCCTTTTTTGGGGGGCTTTGGTGTGCTCTGGGCTTGTCCCTGCTCCCCAGCTCGCTGCCAGGGCAGAGGGAGCATTAACTTGTCAGAAATCATCAGTTTTGCCCCAGCTGCTGTGAAACTGGAGCGGGATCGTGTCAGTTGGAAAAATCAAGAGGTGAGGGAGCTGTGGGATGACAAAATCTGTAACTGAGGGATTGTGATTGAGGGTGGGGGACAGAGATTTGTGCCCTCGCTCTGGGTCTCTCCATGAATGCCTTGAAATTCCATATTGGAACCTCCTGTGAGCCTGGGCTGTGAGCAGCCACCCAGATGTGTGAGCAGCCACCCAGATGTGTGAGCAGCCACCCAGATGTGTGAGCAGCCACCCAGATGGGCATGAACCCACCCAGATGTGTGAGCAGCCACCCAGATGTGTGAGCAGCCATCCATGTGTGTAAGCACCCACCCAGATGTGCATTCACCCACAAATTTAATTCTTTATTTCAATCAGGAGCCCAGCTGCACCCTCCCACCCGAACACCCTCAAACCCAGCTGTGCTCATCCCAAAATCCAGCTCCTCCTCAGCACCTGCCGGGCTCTGCCTGCTCCCCAGGACCCTGGATGTCCCCCCAGGGCTGCCCTGCACTGACCAGGGACTGCAGGATGGCGTGGTTGGTGGCGTTCATGCAGGAGTCCAGTGGGAATGCACACTCCCCCTCGCAGTAGTAGGCTGAGTATCCCTGTGGAGCAATCACCCAATCCTGCAAAAAAAAAAAGAAAAAAATGGGATTACATGGAGGGCTTCACCCTCCTGCGCCCCACTCATCCATTCCCCACCTGCACAAACAGCTCAGCCGCCTCCTCCCCGCGGGGCTGTGCCAGCAGCGAGGGTTTATTTTGTTTTTTTGGATCAGCCATGAGTTGTTGGGGGTCACCGGTGGGGTTTGGGGTTGTGGCAGTTCATGTTTGCCTTCCCAGCTCCCGGGATGGTTTCATGGGCAGGAGAATCCAGCCTGGGAGGGAGCCCAGGGTGGGGGCATGGAATGATGAGGGGTTTTTTTCTTTTTTTTTTGGTCATTTACTTCTCCCAGCAGACAAGTACCAGCCAGCCGAGGTCCTGGAAGCTGACGTAGAGCTCGTGGCGCCGGCAGACCTGCCGCCCATCTGTGGCGTGGACATCATCTGTGGGAAAAGGGAACAGGGATTTCAGCCTGGAATTCCCCCTCAGAGGTGGGATCCAGCCCCTGAGAGCCAAAGGAGAGGAGCCTTTGTTGCTGCACAAAGGGAAAAGCAGCTCCAGACTGGCCTATAAATTGATATTCCAATATTGGGATGAAAGAGCTCAGCCTTGAAAGGGCTAAACCCCAGCTTTGCTCGCTTTGAGGGTTTCCCAAACTCAGGCCTTCCCGTTCCCCTTCTTCCTGAGCTTTCTGGAGCTGTGACACCTTCCCAGGTCTCCAAAGCCAAGGGCAATGAGGCAAAAATTCCAATATTCGGTAATCCTGACACGCTCATAAAACACCATTTCCTTGAGGGCATCCAACCCAAACTCTCTCTGCACCTCCCAAACTTCAAAAACCTCAGAACTTTTCGCTCGGTTTCCCTTGGGCCAAAAAAATTGGGATTTCAAGGTGCTGACGAGCAGAGCCTCGTGTTTTCCGTAGGGAGATCCCCCCCCACCTCCTCCAGAAAACACCTTACCAAAAATTCCCGGGAGCTTGTTGGGGTGGGGGAGGTCGTTGGATTTCTTGGGCTGTCGCCTCCTCGGGGGTTTGGCTGCTCGTGTGACACGGGAGGGGCTGGGGCTGGCCCGGAAAAATGTCACCATGAAGGGCTGCTTGGAGCGGGGGCCCCGGCGCCCCAGGAGCCCGGCCGAGCCCGGATCGACGCTGTGCCCTGCAGGGACAGGACCAGGGGGGATTTGTCCCCAAACTGAACTCGTTTGGTTAAAGCAGAGATTAGAAAGGCAGGAAATTTGCAGCAGGAGATGTGGTTTTGGCATCCCAAGGGGTTGGAGCCCCCTGAGGGTCCTGCTCCAGCACGAAATGGTCACACGGGGCTGTTCAAATGGATTTTCTCCTTCACCCCAAGGAAGACTTTCCTGACTGTGAATCCTCCTCCCATGGAAGAGGAGCAGCAGCTCCTTTTTGCACCTTCTCACCTGGAAAAGGCACTGCTGGAGCAGATTTAATCCCATGGAGAAAAGAGGGTGAATCCTCTGCCACACACACACAGAGGATCCCTCCAGGTAAGGAGTTCATTAACTGTTAATGAGGTTAATTACAGTCCAGGCCATCAGAACCTGCAAACCCAGACTGCTGGCACCCATCACAGCTGGAAATTTAAAATTGCGCTGAGATCAACCCCCCACCACATCCACAGCACTGAGAGGACTCCAATTCCTGGGAATTCGTCCCCAAACGCTGCGGGCAGGTCGGGCAGGCTCACCATCATCTGTCTCCACGTAGAGCCGCAGCCCCAGGTTGTATTTCTGATCCACTGACCAGTGGTTGCTGGCAGCTGTGACATCAAACACCAGCCAGCCCTCTGTCCCAGCACGCAGGTCCTGCACATCCAGCAGGAACAGGTCAGACTCCCTGCAGGAACAGGGGAAAAGCAGCAGGTGAGTAACAGCACCCAAGGGGCCCCAGCAGCAAGGGGAATTAATGGAAATGACTCCTCGGAGCTGTGTCCGGGCAGATCCCGGCTCTCAGTGCCACTGGCTGTGCTGGACACCACGGGGGTGTCCTGGGAAAAGCTCCCTCCCTGCCCAGGTGGAAATGCCAGGGCGTGGCACTGCCCTGTGGGAAGGTGTGGGAGCAGCCGCACACGGCGGTGCCGCCTCGGGTGGGGTGGGAAGGGAAAGCCTGGGGCTGGTCCCCACACCTGTCTCCATCTTCATCCCAATTCCCATCCCCATCACCCCATTCCCACCCCCATTCCCCTCTTCTTCAGTTCTATTCCCATGCCCATCTTCATTCCTCTATCCACACCCATTCCCATCATCTCCATTCCCATTACCTTCATTCCCATTCCCATTTTCAATCCCTATCCCCATTAACCTTGTTCCCATTCCCATTATCAATCCCTGTCCCCTTTAACCTTGTTCCCATTCCCATTTTCAACCCTGTCCCCTTTAACCTTGTTCCCATTCCCATTTTCAACCCTGTCCCCTTTAACCTTGTTCCCATTCCCATTATCAACCCCTATCCCCAGTAACCTTGTTCCCATTCCCATTTTCAATCCCTATCCCCATTAACCTTGTTCCCATTCCCATTTTCAACCCCTATCCCCATTAACCTTGTTCCCATTCCCATTTTCAATCCCTATCCCCAGTAACCTTGTTTCTATTCCCATTTTCAATCCCTATCCCCAGTAACCTTGTTCCCATTCCCATTTTCAACCCCTATTCCCATTAACCTTGTTCCCATTCCCATTTTCAATCCCTATCCCCATTAACCTTGTTCCCATTCCCATTCCCAACCCCTATCCCCATTAACCTTGTTCCCATTCCCATCTTCTCCATTCCCTTACCCATTCACGTTTCCATTCCCACTCCCATCATCCCCATCCCCACATTCTCACCCCCATTCCCATCACCTTCACTCCTATCCCCATTCCCTTCATTCCCACCTCCACCACCTCCATCCCCACCCCATCCCCACCACCCCACACCATTTTCTCCGTGCCGTACCCACTCCCCCGACCTCCATCCCCCTCCTCCTCATTCCCAGCCCCTCACCTGTTGGAATGCTGGGCAGCCACCTCGTAGATGCTGACGTGGAGGCTGCTGTTGGCGTGCCTGGGGACACCCCGGGATTTGTAGATGCGGAACTCGGCGGCCGTCACCGCTTCTCCCACCGGCACCTGGGTCAGGTCGAACCTGAACTCCTTCCAGTAGGGCTTGGGGGAGAACAGGTCCCGGTCCTGCTCCACTGAGGAGAAAAAAAAAAGGGATCAGGGATGGCTGAGCCAAGCTTGGAACCTCCCCACTGAGCCCCACCAAATTTTGGGGGATCAACTCGCTGGTTCTGAGCCGCTCACCCTTGGTTGGAAGTTCCCATCTCCTGAAGGTTTGAATCCGGATCAGCCTCCCCTGTTTCTGCAATTTATTTTGCTGTAAACCCACCAGCTTCCCCTCCCAGCCCTCTTCCTTTATTATTAATTAAAATTAAAATAAATTAAAATTAAAAGCGCAAACGCTGGCTGTGGGAGGGGCACAGAGAATGTGACAGGCTTTAAAGGCTGCAGCCTTCTGTGCTTCATCAAAAGGTGAAAAACACATTCAAAATTCTGAGGTTTTGGGGGTCAGCAGGACTACGTGGAGCAGGAATTGGGGTTTTCCAAACTTTTCTTGCAGCAGACAAGCCCAGGGCTCATCAGGGCCACCACTGGATGTTACAGGTCCACAAGTAAAGATTTGTCCACAAGCAAAAAATTTATCCACAAGTAAAGCTTTCCAGCCTGTGTGTTTTTGGGGAGTTGGAGGGGGTATTATCAGATCACTGGTCTGTAAAAAAAACCCTCCCTTTTCCCTGAAAACACCTTATTTCTCCATCACACTGGGACAGGAAAAATCTGATTTTATTTTGTTCATCCATAAAGAATAAACCTTTCTTTCTCTATGGTAATGCAGCCCCCACAGTTTTGTTAATGTGCAATTATTTGCTTCAAATTGTTCTTTAAAAATATCCCAATCTTCCCAGTCTAATTAAAGTTTATGATTAAATATGATTCAATGTGCCTAAAGCTTCTCCCGCTTCAGGCGCAAAGGCAACATAACCTGGCGCTTACTTTTAAAGCTAAAACAAATAATTAACTGCATAAAAAAAAAAATTTAAATACAGTTTTTAACCAGTTCCAGGTGGGAAATATTCCAAATTTAACCCACCATAAGCTTGCCATTCCCATTTACACAGAGGGAGCACCGCATCCCTCCAAACCCAACACCGAGATTTTACCCACAAGTTCTTTTCCTTCTTCTTCTTCTTTTTTCCTCTTTTTTTTTTTTTTGTTTGCCCCCTTTTTTTTTTTTTTTTGGTTTTATTTTGTTTTTCAAATCCCACATTCCCTCCAGCTCCTGGCCTCACCACAAGCTGGGTTATAAAAAGAGCCCGGGGCCAGGCGGGCAGGGCGGATGCGGAGAGCGCTTCCTGCTCCTGCGGCTGCCAGCTGGACACGAGGATGCTGTGGGGACCTGACCCAACCCCTGCCCCCCTCGTGGGGGACACAGAGCCCCCCAAACCCTCTGCAGCCCCTCAGGCTCTTCTCTTTTTTCCATTTTTTCCACCGTCCCATGGTGGAGTGGTTTTATTCTCCTGGATTATCGGCGCTGCCAAAGCCGCCGAGGCCTCGTGGCGCTCACAGAAATCCTGAGATTCCCCCCAAAACACAAGCAGAGGAGTCACCCCTGGTTTTTTAGCACTGATAAGCCACCAGTGGGTGTCCCACAGTCAGTCCAAGGGACACTCGGGTACAGAGTGGTGTCCCCTTGGGTGTTTTTGGTCACTTGGGTGACCCCTTTGCTCCAAAACCTTTGGCTGTAGCTGGACCCTCACCCAGAGGGATTTTTTGTCAGAGCCAAGGGGGTCTGACAGAGACCCCATGCCAGATAAAAAAAGCCAAAAAGGTGATTTTTGTCCCTAAAGAAGAGTGAAAGCCTCTGTTAATTTTTTAAACTAAAACCTCCTGTTGCTGTGGAGGTGATGAAGGCGTCCAGGGGTGAAGGCAGAGGAGGAGATTTGGTGGGAGGAGAGCTCAGGGACACCTTGGCAGCAGGAGAAATGCAAAAAGGGCTGCAATTAGCTGATGAACTAAATAAGCTGGATCTGACAGCAATCTGTCTGTCTTTGGGATGAAATTCTGGGAGGAATCCCTGAATTCTCTGCTTTTTGGGGAGGAAAAAAGGCAAACCCTTTGGGAAGGGGAGGACCCAGGGAGAAGCTTCCCCCTTCTGTGCCACAACTGGTGCACAAACAGGAGCTTGGGGAGGGCTCAACAGCACCGTGTTTGCTGCTGAAATAAAAAGGGTTGTGAGATGAGAGCCCTGAAGTCCCCCCCGAGCACCCAAAGGAGCCGTGGGTGCTCAGATGCTGCTGGGGGTGTGCCGAGTATTGTAAATTTAGGCGAACTTGGTGGGAAGAAATGGTGATGTCTGCTTTTAGTTTAGAAGGTTGGATGATTTCTTTATTATAGCTATACTACAATACGTTAATATACTACTTAAAAGAGATACTAAAACTACAAACCTACTTTTTTAAACCCCTCTATTTAACTAACTCACAACTCTTGACCCTCTGTGGAGAGCCCGCCCACAGGTGAATTGGATTTCCCATCAGGCTCAAACAATCCTCACCAGAACCTAATCAAGCAATCACTTCAGGTAAACAATTTTTTAAAATACATTTCACAGGTGAAAAACAAGGAGGAGAAATAGAAAATATTTTCTCTTTTTTTCCTCTGAGCTGCTCTATGAAAGAAAGGAGAATGTTTCTGCCACACCGGAGGTGCCCCCCCGGCTGCTCTGGGAACCTGCCCCTGATTCGGGTTGACTCAGCCACACCAGCAACCCTCAATTATCTGTGGGTGGATTATCCGGATTGCAGAGGAGAAGCACTAAAAAAGCCCAACCCAAGCGCTTTGCTCTCCTTTCCCCCTCCTTTGGCATCATCCCCAGGAGCTGCTGCATCTTCCCCCGAAGCTGAGTGTCCCCCTGTGCTCCCATCACCTCCCAAAAAATGATATCAAATGATTATAAACTGACACAAACAGCCTTGGGGCTGTTCCCCTGGCAGGGGATGCCCAGCTCCATCTCCACTGAGCCTCCTGGTGTCTCCCAGTCCCTGAGCATTCCCAGATCCCTTCCTCCTGCTCCCCAGGTTATTCTTAGCTGCACGTTTTTCATTCTGCACTTTCTGGGCTTCTCTAAACTGTGCATCAGTCGTAATTACCAGTCCTGGCTGCTCCCAATGGGTCCCCACGATCATTTCAGACACCAAATTAAAAGGAAATGCCAGGATATTCAACCACATCAAGTGCTCTGGATCCTAAAATAGGTTTAAAGGAGATGCAGGGAAGATGCTGTCCTTCGCTAGCAAGCAGGAAAAAATAAGCTCTGGAGGATTTCTGAAGTGGGGAGGGATTTAGGCGTTATCCCAACACATCCAGACTCCCAGTTTGCCTCATGAGTGCTTCCTCCATCCTCCTGGGATGAGCACTGGGAGCTGCAGGACACAGGGCTCAGCTCTGGACACCCCCAGCCTTGGCCTTGGCCCCTGCCCTACACACCCAGCTGGGAGCACCATGCCACAGGTGGATCCCAGGATTTATTTGGGAAGCTTTTCCCATGAAAACACACACGGAGGGTCCATAGAGAGCAGTGACACCTTGGCACAGCCTGCCCTGGGGTGGATGCCCAGGAGAGGAAGCTCAAACGGCTGCAAAATGAAGCCAGGGGTGGGAAAATCATGATTTCAGTGGTAATTGTGTGGGGGTGAGGGCAGTGGGTGATGAACTTGCAGTTTGGAGTGGAGCAGCACTTCCCAACTCCTAAAATTCAATTAAAGAGGCTGCCCTGAGCTCCCACCCCACATTTCGGGTTCCCTGAAGTGCCCAGGGTGCTGTGGCTGTTTTTGCCAAGGTGTCCTGTGTTCCTCTCCAGTGCTCCCTGGATTTCCCATCTGAAACAGCCACAGGGGAGTCCAGCAACAGGGAATCACAGACTGCTTTGGGTCGGAAAGAACCTTAGAGATCACCTAATTCCAACCCCTTGCCATGGGCAGGGACACCTGCCAATAACCAGGAGCCGTGGATGCCGGGAGGGAAAGGGGGGATGTGTGTGCTGTGGTGCCCTGGGGGGCTCGGGAATGCTGTGAGTCCTCACCCCCTTCCCACTACACATCTCTGTGCCCCACAATTACACCCTGCCCGTATCCATGACCCACAGCTGAGGAGAAATCCCAAAGCCCATCCTCACCCCGGCCTTCAAAACCCAAAATCTGCAGCGAGGGCACAGGAACAGCACGGGCCAGGCTTCATCCTCGCTCCGGGAGGAGCAGGAGGGGTGGGATACCGGATCCACCATCCCCCAAGGCAGCTGGGGGTGCCCGTGCCCCCCAAAATGGGCCGTGTTTGTGCTCCAGGGAGGTTTGTCACTCCCCCTCGCCCGAGAGGTCCAAGTGCCCAATGGGGCACAGGCTTTACCCCATTTGCATGTCCCATCAGGATAATTGTGCAGCTAATTATGTATGCAAATGAGAGCTGGCCTTCTCCCACAAAAAAATACTCCTTGTTTAATTAACATGAAGGGGCTGACGAAGCCGCAGAAATCAAAGCCATTCAAATTGAAGGCTGGAGCTGCGCTGCCCGACTCTCCTGCCTACTCCAGGAGCGCTGGGCAGGGCAGCAGTGCCCCTGTTCCTGCACCCCTGTGCCAGCAGTGACACCTCCCAAAGGCTCCCCTGAGCATCCCACTCTGGTTGCCATCAAACCCGACCATTTTACAGCCCGTTTGGGCGCTTGGGTGTTGGCCCAGGTGATGAGGGGATTCGGTGTTTCAGTTTTTGGCTCCATCACTCTCAGCTTGCTGAGCTCCAGCAGCTCCCTCAGGACTCTGGAGAGGAGCTGGGTGCCCGCACTGTGGGCACCCCAAGCACCTGGGTCTGTCCCAGGGAGACTCCTGACACCCACACGTGGTACAGGGGGTGTAGGAATGAGTGGGAGACACCTTTACACCCCCTCTTCCTCATAAGAGTGCAGATCCCCCCTCCCTGCCTCCAATCTCCAAGAAGGGATTCTCCCCATCTTCCGAGGTTGTGGTGGATTTTGTGCTCGGGACACCCAAACACCCCTTAAAGCAAAGAGCAGGGGCAGGGAAAAACTCCATATCCGAGTTCCCAATCTGCAAATCCCACTGGGTTCAGGCCGCCCCAGTGCCTGAGCTCGTCTCATCCCGAGTGTTTGTGGCCCCGCTGATGCTGGGAACAGCCCTGCTGCTGCCTGGAAATCCGCGGGATGCTGGAGCTGGAGCCTGCTAAGCAGCTGGACGGGATTCCAGCAATAATTAGCAGCCTCGAGGGTTTATTTGGAGCCGGGATTCAGTGTCCCATCGAGGGTCACCCAGAGCCGCTGTCCCGCCTGTCCTGAGACCCGTTCGCTGCCCACCGAAACGGGGAGAGCCTCCCTCAGCTGCCCCTTGCTGCGGGGCATTCCCCTTCTCCATTTCCCCCTTTTAAGCGGAATTGGGATTCATCCCGGCCACTTTCAGCCGACACTCGTGTCCCTCACGGCCACCGTGTCCCTCACGGCCGCCGTGTCCCTCACGGCCGCTCTCCCCGTTCCTGAGCTTAACTTTGGGCAAAAGAGCTCCTTATTTGAGCAAGGACTGAGAAACCGCCCCGAGGGATGCCCGGAGCTGCCGGTGCCACAGTCACGGACCGGGAATTGGGGCTGGGGTCAGCTCAGCCCCGTGCCCGCCCCGCCGGTCCTGCCCGTCCACTCCCGTCTGCTTTCGTCCCCCCGGTCCCACCGTGCGTCCCGGTCCCCCCGCCCCGGTGCTGCCTAAACCACCTGGATCCAGCCTGCACATCCCGGTATTCCCTCCCGGTAGCCTCGGTGAGCGTCGGTGCGCTCCGATCGTCCCGGTGCCCCGGTCCTGCCAAAGCCGCCGGGATCGTGCCCGCATATCCCGGTACCCCCGGTGCGCTCCGGTACCCCCGATGTCCCGCACATCCCGGTACTCCCGGTGCGCTCCGGTACCCCCGATGCCCCGTACATCCCGGTACCCCCGGTGCGCTCCGGTATCCCCGATGCCCCGCACATCCCGGTACCCCCGATGCCCCGCACATCCCGGTACCCCCGAGGCGCTCCGGTACCCCCGATGTCCCGCACGTCCCGGTGCTCCCCGGTGCGCTCCGGTCCCCTCGATGCCCTGCACATCCCGGTGGCCCCGGTGCGCTCCGGTACCCCCGATGTCCCGCACATCCCGGTCCCCCCGATGTCCCGCACGTCCCGGTACCCCCGGTGCGCTCCGGTACCCCCGATGCCCCGCACGTCCCGGGGCGCTCCGGTCTCCTCGATGCCCCGCACATCCCGGTACTCCCGGTGTGCTCCGGTCCCCCTGATGTCCCGCACATCCCGGTACCCCCGAAGCGCTCCGGTACCCCCGATGCCCCGCACGTCCCGGTGCGCTCCGGTACCCCCGATGTCCCGCACATCCCCGTATCCCCGGTGCGTTCCTGTACCCCCGATGCCCCGCACATCCCGGTGCCCCCGATGCCCCGCACGTCCCGGTGCCCCCCGGTCTGCCCCGATACTCTCGGTGTCCCCCCGCCCTCCCGGTGCCCCGCAGCGCTTCTCACCCATGTTGACGAGGCTGACCACGGTGTCCGCGCGGCTCACGACGCTACCGGGCGGGGGGCTCTGAGTGCTGAGCCCGGTGAGCACCGGGCGCGACACCGCCGCTTCCTCACCCTCCTCCTCATCCTCCTCGCCGGCCACGGCGTGGTACAGATCGAGCATGAAGAGCGGCGCGGCGGCGGCGGGGGCGCGGGCGGGGGCGCGGGGCCGGGGCCGGCCGGGCAGCCCCAGCACGGCCAGGATCTCCCGCTGCACGTCCCGCCGCTCGCCGCCGCTCAGCCGCCGCTGCGGGACCCCGGCGGCGTGGAGCCGGCGGCGGAGGACGCTGCCGCTGCCCAGCTGGCACAGCACGGCCGCCACCCACAGCAACGCCACGGCCCCACGCCGCCCCCCGCCCGCCCAGCGCCCCGGCCCCATGGCACCGCCGGGACCCCCCGCCCGCCCGGTGCGGTGCCGTGCGGCCCCGGGCACCGGCACGGCCCCGGCCCGCCCCGGCGGGGCGAGGGAAAGGGACGGTCCCTCCAGCGGCACCGCCCCGGCCCTCCCCGCCCGGCTGCTCCGGGGCACGGGGAGCAGCGCTGGGCAGGAGAAGCGGCCGGCACCCAAAGCCGTGGAGACACCAATTGGTGGGAACCCATCCCTGGGGATGTTTATTGCCATGAGCACCCAAATTCATGGGAATCCATCCCTAGGGATGTTAATCCTCGTGGGCACCCAAATTGATGGGAATCCATCCCTAGGGATCTTTATCCTCATGGGCACACAAATTGATGGGAATCCATCCCTAGGGATGTTAATCCTCATGAGCACCCAAATTGATTGGAACCCATCCCTAGGGCTGCTTATCGTCATGAGCACCCAAATTGATGGGAACCCATCCCTAGGGATGTTTATCGTCATGAGCACCTAAATTCATGGGAATCCATCCCTAGGGATGTTTATCCTCGTGGGCCCCCAAAGCCGTGGGTTGCCAGCCTCACTCACAGCCAAAGCCATGGGCACCCATCCCTAGGGATGCTCCTGCTGGTGGGTGCACAAACCCATTCCTAGGGATGCTCACCCCATGGGCACCCACTTCTAAGGAGGCTCCCCCGTGTAGGCAGCCAAACCAGGGGCACCCACCCTCGCTGGCACCCAAATCCCTGAACATCCACAGCTGGGGACACTCCCCCTTGTGGGAAACCAAACCCAGGATACCCAAATCCATGAACACTCACACCTGGGGACACTCACCCACTTGGGCATCCACTCCCAAGGCCACTCAAATTCTTGGACACCCCCTTGCATCCCTTCCCCTCACAGGCACCCCCTTCCCCACCCCACTGAGCACCTCACCAGCCTCACCCACCCACCTGGACCGTTTAATTTTGGGGCTGGCTGGCTCCCTGCTCCATCCCACAAGAAAACCCGGGTGCAAACACCCCCTGACTTCCCCAACCACTGCCTTCCCACACGGGATAACCAGCTCCAGCTCATCCTTACAAAGCTAACACCGGGGAATAAAGTAGGAGGCAAGATCGTTTATTACCGCAAGCAATTTTAATACAAAAATGTGTCTGGTTCTTTTAAACAATTCATTGGTAGAGCTTCGGTTTTGCCTCAATTTGAAACCAATTGAGAGAATCACACAGCAACACGGTCAGAGCCGGAGAGGAACAATATTTAATAAATACAGGAGCTGTGGAGAGCCCTCGGCCCCGGCCCGTCTCCTGGTCACTTGGTCAGTTGGATTTTATTACAAAGAAAAAGGAGCGTACAAAAGCGAGACAGGACTTGCAGCGAGTGTGCTGGTGAGACTCATTTCAAGGACAAGCAACTGTGCGTGTAAGTCCAGATTTCTCCTAGGAGCAGAGTTCACATCAATCTCAGCCTGGCTGGAAGTGGAATGACCAGTTAAATAATAAATAGGAAACAAAGAGATGCAGATAAAACAGTGATTGTGTAAGGAACGCCTCGGGGCGGGCTGGTTAAGCCATCAATCCAGAAGAATCCTTGATTTTGGAGGGCCCACCACCTCTAAGGGATGCATCCCAGTGATCCAGACCTGCAATCCTACCCCGTGTATCCCCTGGTGTGAGGCTCCTCCTCAAACCCCTCCCCAAACCCTTCACCCTCGGTTTGTTCTTTAAAAACAAAGTTGTCAGGACAGTATTTTCAAGACAGCAAAATTGCCACGGCCTTTGCTGTAGTGTGTGCAAATTTTATTAAAGTCAAACTCCGCTTTCTTCAGATAAAACCACGTAGCTTTAAAAAAAATGGAAACATAAGCCCCAAGTCCCCTCACCTCATGTTTCTCTGGTTGAGGTATCTGTGATTTACAAAAAGAGAGTTCCTTGAACACTGCAGGATTCAGGTCTTTGCTTTTAAATATAATTTACCTTGCTGAGACAGCAAGTTAAGTTTATAAAGATGCATTTAGGAAACAATCCTAAAAGATAAAGCAGGTTCACACCCTGCACCGCGCAGAAATCCTATTTATATTTTAGTTTTTCTTTACACTTTCACATCTTGACCTTTTTTTTTTGCTTCCTTTTTTTTTTTTAACTCTTTTTCTTGTTTTTTTTTTTTTTCTTTCTCTCCCACATTTCAGTTTTCCAGGCCCCTCTCTAAACAGGGGTCACCGAGAGGCAATTTTTTTTATCTACATAAATATTCACATGAAAATAGTAACTTACAAAAAAAGGAAAAAAAAAAATCAAAAACAAAACAAAACAAAAAAACCCCAAATAAGGCAGCTTCATAACACAACTTCTCTTTTACACTTTTAACAATATAGTTTCTCCCATTTAGAATAAATATACATCCAATGTACGGAGCAGGGTTAAAAACTGGAACACGGGTGGGTGCGTTTTTTTTTGTTTTTACGTGTTGTTTTTCCTTCCTCTCTGTCGGGAGGGCGGCGGGTACAGTATTATCTCTTAGGGCCGGGCGTTTTTGGGGTGGCAGCGGGCGTTTTCTTGGACATGGTGGGGATTTTGGAGGGTTTGGCGGCGCGGCGCGAGCTCTGCCCACCGGCTGCGCTGCTCTCCGAGGTGTCCGAGCACGCCGACTGTGTCTCCAGCAGGTCGAAGTCTGAGGCGTCGCTGCCCCTCCGGCTGCTGGCCCGGCTCCCGGTGCGGCTCCCGGCGCGGCTGGTGGGACGGCTGGCTGCCTTCTTGGGGTCTGCAGGGAGAGCCCACGGAGCTGTGAGAGGGAGGGGCTGTGTCCCCTGAGACCCCCAGGTTTGTGTGTCCTGATACCCCAAGATTTTCTCCTCCTGATGCCCCAAAGTTTGTGTCTCCTGACACCCCAAGGTTTGTGTCTCCTGATACCCTAAGGTCTGCTCCTCCTGATGTCTTAAGTTTTGTTCTTCCTGTTACTTTAAGGTTTGTCACTCCTGATGCCCCAAGATTTGTGTCCCCTGATGCCCTGAGGTTTGTGTCTCCTGATACCCCAAGATTTGTGTCCCCTGATACCCCAAGATTTGTGTCCCCTGATACCCCAAGGTTTGTGTCCCCTGATACCCCAAGGTTTGTGTCTCCTGATACCCTAAAGTTTGTGTCTCCTGATACCCCAAGGTTTGTGTCCCCTGATGCCCTAAGGTTTGCTCCTCCTGATGTCTTAAGTTTGGTCACTCCTGATGCCCTAAGTTTTGTTCCTCCTAATGCCCTCTGTTCCTCCTGATACCTTAAGTTTTGTCACTCCTGATACCCCAAGGTTTGTGTCTCCTGATACCCTAAAGTTTGTTTGTCCCGATACCCCAAGGTTTGCTCCTCCTGATACTCCAAGGTTTGTGTCCCCTGATACCCCAAGGTTTGTGTCTCCTGATGCCCTAAGGTTTACTCCTCCTGATACCCTAAGATTTGTGTCTCCTGCCACCCCAAGGTTTGTGTCTTCTGATGTCCTAAAGTTTGTTTCTCCCGATACCCCAAGGTTTGAGTCTCCTGATAACCTAAGGTTTGCTCCTCCTGATACCTTAAGTTTTGTCACTCCTGATACCCCAAGGTTTGTGTCTCCTGCTACCCCAAGATGTTCTCCTCCTGCTGCCCCAAGGTTTGTGTCCCCTGATGTCCTAAGTTTTGTCACTCCTGATACCCCAAGGTTTATGTCTCCTGATACCCCAAGATGTTCTCCTCCTGATGCCCCAAGGTTTGTGACTCCTGATACCCCAAGGTTTGTGTCCCCTGACACCCCAAGGTTTGTGTCTCCTGATGCCCTCTGTTCCTCCTGATACCTTAACTTTTGTCACTCACCTGCCCGAGTGGCTTTGGCACCTGTCGAGGCCGGCGAGGAGCTGTTACTGGTGTCCCCAGCCAGGGAGGTCCGGCTGGAGTGGAAGGTGGGGCGCTTCAGCTTGCTGCCCGCCGAGGGGGTCACCTTGGGAGGAAGCACACACAGGACATCCTTCAGCTGTCACCTGCACCGTGACGGGCCCAGGTCACACCCCAGATCCCATCCTCAGCAAAAATCTGGGCACTTAAGGAACCCCCATCTCAATGGTCAGGGAAGGCACAAGCTGCTGTTTTGGTTTCGGTTCCCCTATTTATAAAAGAAAGGAAAAGCCCAAATGCTGAAAATTTGGAGGGGAACGGCAGTTTGTGAGCTGCAGGCTGGTGAAAGGGAATTTGTTGGGAAAAAGAAAATTCCAAGCAAAGCTGTTAAGAGGCAGCATCAGCTGGGCTTGAAACCTCCACGAGGAGAATATGGAAAAACAGGGGTTTTAGCATCCAAGCAGCTCAGGAGCATTTTGGAAGGTCAAGTCCAACTCGACTAGCTCAACCCATTGTGGGCAGAGGTGCAGGGACACCCTGGTGCTGATGTCCACACCTCTCCCAGTGCCCAGAGGCAGCCAAATTGGAGAAGTGATGGGCAGGGACACAAACCACAGCAGAAGAGCTCTGGCTGCACCCCAAAGCGGTGCCTTTTCCCGACCTTTGAGATGTTGGAAGTGCAGCTGGTGTGGGGTGAAGCAGCACAACAGGCAACTCTGCTCCCGCCGCTGCTGCAGGAAGCCAAGGGGAAGGTGCCAGCAGGGCGAGGGCACCTGGATCCAGCTGGAAAAGGCAGCTCCAGTTCCAGTTCACCATCCCAAGCTCTGGGTTTGGGGCAGTGCTGCAGGAAAGCGCCTGCCTGTGGTGTCCCCAGCCCTGGGGGTTTTAGGGGTGCTGCATCCCTGGAGAGATGGACACAGATCCCAGAGGGCATTTTCCACACTTGGAGGGATTTTCCGCCATCCCCTGCGATTTTGTGATTTTTGGGAACCTCAGAAATGTTGGAATGTGATGAAACTGGAGCTGCAGGGGGAGAGGGGCAGCTGAGGGAATCAAAATCCATTAGCACGCGATTTTCGAGGTACCATTGTCATCATCAGAGATTTCGATTCTCATCCTTGATCCTATTTTAAAATAGGCAGCAAGCATCAATTTGGGGCAATTGGG